GAAATTGAATCAGATAGCCCTAGCTGGTTTGGCTCAGTGGATAGAGCATTAGCCTGCGGACTGAAGGGTCCTGGGTTTGATTCCAGTCAAGGGCACATGTCCAGGTTGTGGGCTTGATCCCCAGTAGGGAGTGTGCAGAAGGTAGCCGATCAATGATTCTCTCTCATCATTGATGTTTCTATCTCTCTCCCTCTCCCTTCATCTCTAAAATAAATAAAAATACATTTTTTAAAAAATAAAAATGGGGGGGGGTAAGAGATCAACCGAAGGACTTGTATGCATACATATAAGCATAACCAATGGACATAAGACACTGGGGGATAGGGGAAGCCGGGGGAATGTCAAGAAGGGGAAAAAAGGGAGACATATATAATACTCTTTGTAATACTTTAAGCAATAAAACAAAATTTTTAAAAAAATAAAAAATAAATAAATAAAAATAGACCACCAACTTACACCATACACAAAAATAAACTCAAAATGGATAAAGGACTTAAATGTAAGACGGAAAACCATAAAAATATTAGAGGAATCTACAGGCAGCAAAATCTCAGACATATGCCAAAGCAATTTCTTCACCAATACAGCTCCTAGGGCAATGAAACTGAAGAGAAAATGAGCAAATGGGACTACATAAAAATAAAAAGCTTTTGCACAGCAAAAGAAACCATCAACAAAACAACAAGAAAGCCTACTGCATGGGAGAACATATTTGCCAATGTTATCACCAGTAAGGGTTTAAGCTCCAACATTTACAGGGAACTCATACAACTTAACAAAAGGAAGATAAGCCAATCAAAAAATGGGCAATGGACCTACATGGATAATTTTTGAAAGAAGACATAAGGAAGGCCAAGAGACATATGAAAACATGCTCAAAGTCACTAATCATCCAAGAGATGCAAATCAAAACGACAATGCGGTCCTATCTCACACCTGTCAGAATGGCTATCATCAACAAATCAACAAATAACAAGTGCTGGTGAGGGTGTGGAGAAAAAGGAACCCTCGTGCACTGCTTTTGGGAATGCAGGCTGGTACAGCCGCTGTGGAGAACAGTATGGAGTTTCCTCAAAAAACTAAAAATGCCTCCTATATGAAATGGCTGAACAGAAAAAAAAAAAAAGAAAAAAAAAACTAAAAATGGAACTCCCATTTGATCCAGTGATCCCACTTATAGGGATATATCCCAAGAAATCAGAAACACCAATCAGAAAGGACATATGCACCCCTATGTTCACAGCAACACAATATACCATAGCGAAGATTAGGAAATAGCCTAAGTGCCCATCAGCAGATGAGTGGATTAAAAAACTGTGGTACATGTACACAATGGAATACTACACTGTGGTAATTAAGAAGGAATTCTTACCATTTACAACAGCATGGATGGAACTGGAGAGCATTATGCTAAGCGAAATAAGCCAGTCAGAGAAAGATAAATATCACATGATCTCACTCATTTGTGGAATATAATGAACAACATAAACTGATGAACAAAAACAGATCCAGAGACAGAGAAGCATCAATCAGACTGTCAAACCTCAGAAGGAAAGTAGTGGAGGGTGGGGGTAAGGGGGAGAGAGCAATCAAAGGGCTTGTATGCATGCATATAAGCATAACAAATGGACACAGACACAGTTGCTTGTATGAAAAATAATACAATAATTAATAAAGAATAAATTCTATTTTGTGTACTCACAAATGTAAAACTACTTTTGCCAACCTGATTTAAGGAGATAAAATGACTAGTTTAATAATCCAATAAGCCCTTTTATAAATACTACTCATTTTTTAATCCTTCCTGCTGAGTTCATGATAAAAGAAACTCACTCTTTTTCTCTTTAACCTTTTATATTGTCCTAATTCTTATAGCTATTTGAAAGTCCTCAAATTTATGCAGTAATTTATAATATATAGATGGTGTCCATTAAAATTGAAGTTTTGCAGATATATTTGGAGAATATCAAAATGCAGTATTCTTAACATTTATATTTTCCAGAGCAAAATTTTACCTTATAAAGTTTATCAATGATTGGGGGAAATGGTAGTATGTATAACACTGTGGAATACTGAACTAATCTAGGCGGTATCTTCCAAAAATTACTAATGCACAAAAATTTACTCTAATGGTGAAAGACTGAATAGAGAAATTATGGTTTATCCAAATGACAGAATTTCATGCAACCATTAAAAACCATGTTACAGGTAAATACTCAATTGATTCTGTAATTAATCACTAAAGAATATTAAATATATTCAGGACTTATAACATTAAAATACAACTTATAAAATATACAGTTTGATCTCTATTTAAATATATATACATACATATATATATATATATACACACACATATATATATATAAATATGACCAGGGAACTTATATGCATATATGTTTAGCCCATGGACACAGACAATAGTCTGGTGAAGGCCTGGGAGGGGCGGGTGCAGGATGGAGGGGTTCAATGGGGGAAAAAACAAAGGGGACATCTGTAATACTTTCAACAATAAAGATACATTAAAATAAATACATAAATATATATGCCACATATCTACTCATATTACATCCATGTATGTCTATATTCTACAAAGAAAACAAAGAGTTAGCAAAATATCTCTCTGGGAGATAAGAACATAGTTTTTTTTCTTCTTTACTGTGGTTTACTTTCCATTTTTTTCTATTAAAAATGTAAATTTTCTTATGTACTCATAAGAAAAAATTTACTTAAAAATTTTTATAATTCAAAAAAAGGTTAAAGAATTGACTCTTCTTCAATCAGACTCAAACCTTAAAATATGTTAATATTGCCTGACAGGCATTATCCATTTGTTTCTACAAAGTTGTCCCTCTCCAAAACCCCAAACAAGTGCTATATTATACTTCCATGCATCCCACATTCTCCTTGGTCACTGGCAACTGCTGCTGCTATATTATCTCATCAACCCAGGCATTATCCTCTTACCAGTTAATGACAAAAATTATCTCCTCTGCCAACCTTTCTCAAGTTCCTTATAAACTTTTAGATTCTGAAAAATACCTCAGAAAATACTCCCCATACAACTCAAGAGGCTGAGGAAGTAATGTTAAGACTTATGTTTAAGTCATAACAATAAAATATACTACCAATACTACTGGACCCATACTATGGAGCATTATTTGGCAATAAAAAGGAATGGAATACTGATACATGCTACATAGATGAATCTTGAAAACATTATGCGAAGTAGAAGAAGCCAGTCACAAAAGACCACAGATTGTATGATTCCATTTATATAAAATGCCCAGAACAGGCAAATTTATGAGATAAAAGTAGACCAGTGGTTGCTTAGGGCTGGGGAAGCAGAAGGGGGGACAATTGGGATTGACTGTTAATGGGCACAGGCTTCCTTTTAAGAGGTACGAACATAATTCTAAAATTAGATTGTGGTAAGGATTACACAGCCCTATAAATACAAAAAAAAATGAATTGTATACTTTTAAATTGGTGAATTGTATGGTATGTGAATTAGATATCAAGAAAGCTGTTTGAACTGTACTAAAAAATACTACTGTAACTATTTCTTACAGCTACCATTGAATAGTTAGTATGTACAAGAAACCTTAGAGACCTTATATCACCTGATTCTCACCAACTCTTCAAGGTCAATTTTTAACATTTAATAGAGATGAGAAAACAAGTTCAATGAACTTAAAATATTTACACAAAGTAACAGAGCTATTCAGGAATGGTGCCTAGATATATCATTCTAAAGAAATGTCTCTCTGAAGCCCATGTTTTCTAAACTATGCCTGTCATGCTCGCCATCAACGAGCATACTGGAAATAATTGGAATAATTGGAATATGGACAAATGCCCTTAAAAGAGCAGGTATTTTGTTTTCTATCAGTGGTGGGAATAAGTTTTTTTGAGGCATCATTATAGGAAATAAGGCTTAAAAGAGTGAATGCCATTGTTATTTAATTCAAAAGCCACATCTAGAAGACAAATGACTCTGGAAAACAATTAAAAGTAATTAAGGTTATGTAATGTGTTCCTTCTCTTTCAGTTTATTCGGAGCTACACTGTACATGTCTTCAAGGTACAGACATCATCTGATTTGTCTTTCTTAAGTCAATGCTTCTAGGGTGGTGAAGACTTGGGGGGGGGGGGGTTGAAAGGAGGGAGGGAAGGGGGAGAAAATGTAATACTATCAATAAAAAATGTATTTTTTAAAAAGTCAATGCTTCTAGAAATTCCTTGTTCTTTATTTAGATGAAATGCTAACAAAATATTAATATACAGAAATGATCACCATTTCTTTAAATCACATTCATTAGGCAAAATAAATATTCCTTTATTTAGATTTTATTACTCATATTTAGTTTTTATCCATACATTTAGAGGACTTTACAAACACTAACTTATTAGCAGTTCCAGAAAGGTAGTTGGATAAAAAAGGCAATTATATGAGGAAGAAATACAAAGATGATACTAAAAGGACCATATTTTGTGGCTTCATCTATAATGCAACTAACAATCTATATAGTTGCTGTTATCCTGTTTGCTGCTGTAACAAATTATCACAAACTCAGAGGCTTAAAACAACACTAATATATTATCTTATGGCTCTGTAGGTCAGAAATTCGACACAGGACTCACTGGACTTAATTCAAGATCCTGGCAGGGCTGCATTTCCTTCTGGGGCACTAGAAAATGTTTCCTTGCCTTTTACATTCTAAAGAGGTTACCTGTGTTCCTTATCTCATGGCCCCTTCCTCCTTCAAAGCCAGTAAGTGGGTCAAGTTCTTCTATCATCATTTCACTCTGATCTCCTTTTACCTCCCTCTTCCACTTTTAAGCACCCTTATGATTATATTGGGCCCATCCAAATAATCCAGGTAATCAATCTCATTTTAAAGTCCTTAATCCCATCTGCAAAGTCTTTTTGAAATTTAATAACATATTCACAGATCCTGAAAATTATGACATTGCCATCTTTGGGTGGCAATTATTTGCCTTTGTGTTCAAAAAAATCAGGATTATACACATAGTAAATTGAGCCTACAGTGGAGGGCTTGATTTGGGTTAAATACTAATGTTTTAAATAAAGAATGTAGAACTTGGGGTGAAAAATCTCTCCTTTCTGTTTTGTCAGATTTTTACTGGCATTCTATTTTGAACCATAATTAGATATGTGGGAATAACAGGAGAAATAGGGTGCCATTCAAACCCATGGGAAAAAAAATGGAAAGATCTAAGTGAATCTGTCCATTTTTTATTTGAACAAAAACCTGAAAAAAGCTTATTTTGTATTTTCTATCTTTTCATATACATTGTTCTGCCTTGGCACTCAGAAAGTACCATTTACACGGCCTTTACCACATAATAGGATATTGTATTAATTCAAACTAGAGGAAAAGTAGCTGGGAAGACTATACTTGAGCATACTAACCAGGAGTTTTTACGAACCTTTAAAATAAAATATCCAAGTAATCATTATATATGTATATGTGGTTAAGAAATCAAACATCTCCTTTTTGAAAGGCCTAAATTCAAAGTGAAATTATATCACTATTTTTTTAATTCCCCAGAAAAATGCACTATCGCATGTTTAACATTTTCAATTTAGTTTTATATCTTTTCTGACTCCAAGACAGAAGAGAGATGTTTGATGTACTCAAGTTATAGCCAGCATCTACCAATTCTTTGATTCGACTTTTTAAAGTACTTATGCTTGAATCTAGAATCCGAGGATTTTCAATTATTTGTGAAATGCTAATTTTTTCTTCTATGAGGCAATCTATTTTATCATTAAACTTTTTCTCTCCCAAGAAGAGCACATCTAGATAGCTCAAGACAAACTTCTGTACTTCCTGTTCAGTGCACCCAAGAGAACACAGCTTCTCTTTGATATTTGTGTAGTTTCTTTTGGCACAGCCATTGGAAAGGTCTAGGATTTCAGCTCCTGGACCACATATCAGAACAAGCAGCTCCTCATTGTTCAGGTTGAAAGTTGACTGTAAAAACATAATGTTAGCTTTTATCCGTTTTGTGCTCTGAATTAAGATGAAAGGGTTTTTTAAAATTATTTTCCTGACAAAATCTATGGGATCACTGTGACCTAAGGACAAACATACTTCCTGCAAAAATTCAACCATCTGTTTATTCAAATCAAGACTATTGGAGAAGGTACGTGGGGCATTGTTCAATAATCGACAAAGGCACTTCCGGGTCAATCCAACTGAGTAGAGAAACTTTATATTATTCTCCAGGTTTACGTTGTTATTGGACCGAAAAAATGATTCAGGAGAACGTTCCAAAATATCTACAATTTCAAGGTCCGATGTCATAATTGTTCTCCACAAATCCCATCGTTTTGAAAGATTTTCAGTTGTGCGTGTTAAGGCTCGTGGATATCTTGATATGATGCTAGCAATCACTTCTTGGCCAGCTCCTTTGGACAGAAGGAACATCTTCAGATCCTGCTCATTAATACCCGTCCTATTAAAAACTCCGGGCTGTCGTTTCTTGGCCATGTCAACATCTACTCCCATAGTAAGTAAGCTATTCAGTAGTCTATTCTTCAAAGGCTCACTGTCTTCATTATCAGACTTCACACCAAAAAACCTAAATGAAACTGATCTGAAGAGTATTTCTGGTGAAAATCGGGTCATCCAACATCTTGAGCCAAAGAGGAAGTGACTTCTCATATACAAGAGGTTTCGTGGTGCCAGAATGGTCAAGTAGCCCCAACCTTTTGGAACGCTGTTAAAACAACATAGACAATATTATATAATGTATTAAACAGTTGAAAGACCATATTATGATCCTGTAAGTATCATGGTCCTTTCTGTAAGAAGTTATTGGTAGCTCCAGTTCTCCTGGTGCTGTGGTAACAATTCAGCCACTGTATTTTCACTCTCTAGCTCATTACTTCTAATTATCTGTGAGCCTGAGCTCCATACATTCTCAACATAAAGAAAGACAGTATAGCATCATCACTGCTCCAGAATTATCCCTACCTTTACCTTGCTCTTCTTATTTGGCCTTACCTGCCTTGGCTATCCAAAACCAATTGCCCCTCTCCATTTCTGTTTTATCCTCCTGGTTCCAAACCTTTGGCTTATTCCTACTAACTGATGTTTTCAATTCTGCCTTGTCTTCCAACTTCCCAGATCTTCGGCCTTGCCCCTGCCCATAGATACCAGACTTCTTTGCCTCTGTTCTCACATCCTGGTTATCAAACTCTAAATTTACCCCTGAAAACCAACACCAGAATTATTTTATTTTATTTTATTTTGGTAAAGATTTGTTTTATTTCTACTGGGGAAAAGAGAATGATAAATAAAACTGTTCTCCAATTTGCTCTCCACTGTGTACAAACATACCCACACACACACAAAAAAAATACACACACACCAAAAATACCCCAAACAAAAAGAAACCAAGAATCAAAAATCAAAACACCCTCAAACTGCACCAATACTTTGGATTTTGACCAAAAGAATAGATCCTAGGAGGAAGTGCAGAATGCCAAATCAAATGAATGAAAATGCTGAACAAAAAGCATTATTAATATACAAAATATTTATATTTCTGAACTAGTAACAGTTGGTTCTCCGTGTCTGTAAAATTTTGGAACCACATAGCTGATTTGTTAAATCTAGTCCATGCCAGCTTCCAAAAGCCAGAAAAGATTTTAGTTAGCTTCATTCTTTGATGCCTCATCAAAATTTTCTACAAGATCTGAAACATCATCATCTTCCTCATCAATGTCTTCTGGTTTTGGTGCTTTGCTATCCATCACTTGCCAAGGGAACTGTTCAGCTAACTTCCTAAGACTTGAGAAGCTGTCAGCACCAAACTGACTTAATATTCCAGGAAGCATTTCTGTGATTCATTTGGTTTTTGTATGACTGGTAATTGTGTTAGCAGAAAGGGAAGCTTGGACTTCGGGATTGTTGAAATGAATAACTGTTCCATCATCTTTAATCATGTTTACCTCTTCAATACCAGCTTTCCAGAAAACTCTGAAGTTTTCTGTCATCAGCTGTAGCTATTCTATGTACCACCTTCTTTCTGCAAGCCATACCCTTGTCCCCTATCTGGATCTGAGCCTGAAGTTTGGCTAACTTTTCTTGATTCATGCTGTTGGTAAATCTGAGGCAGGGAGAGTCCTCCAACACCAGCATACGGCAAGAGCAAGAGGGTTACCTCAGCCGAGACACCAACACCAGAATTCTTGCACCATAAACACATTTTTCTAGATTCATGGCACTCTTTAAATCCAGGCTATTATTAGAGCCTAATTCTTAGCTCTGGTCAACAACTACAACTGCTTCCAATCTCCTCACTCAATTTACATTATTGTCCCCTTGGTTGTAACCCAACAACTCCAAACCAATGATCTAGTTGGGATATTTAATCCAAATAATACACCACACATGGAACTGTGCTGCAAGATGACATATTTAAAAGTTACTTTTACCATTCTCCCCAGGCCACCACATTGCAAAAGACGAGCCCAGGGCTCTCTGCATCAGTTTCACAACACATATAACTTTGTGCAAGTGGTTAAAAACTCAATATCTAATTTTCTTGATCATTCAGAAATGAGTCATGAAATGTATGAACTGCTACATGGTAACAATCATAAGTCCCTAGTAAAGTGATCATCTATTTATAGGAAATATTTTATGAGGAAAGCAACAAAGATTATTCTTATCAGATAATTTATTTTCCTAAGCTACTTATGGTCTGAATCATACAATAATACATATATTTTTTAAATTGTACTTTATCCTTTTCAGACTACACAGCTGTGATGAACTTAGATTTTTATTCCTAATTACTTACAATGGGCTCTTATCACTTAAAAGCGGCACTTTAATTAAGCATAAAATAGAAAATAGAGCTAGATGATTTCAACTCACCACTAATATCTTTGGACTTGAGATACTGCTTTCAAGATCAACATCATAAAAGCCTCTCTGAGCCTATCCTTTTAATTATTCCAATTTAACAAGAATTTAGATTATGCCTACAGACTGGGAACATTCCTATAGCTCAGATAATCTAAAGATCCTCAAAGAATCGGAAAAATATTCCCAAAGTATGGAATCCAATAGCATTCAAACAAAAGTGCAGACTGCTCACAAGGTAAACATCAAACAAAAGCACATATTAGACTGCCCTATACTTTGAATTCACTATTCTTCACTTCTCCATAATGCTACATGCTACTATGTAATTATTCACTCTCCCAAAAATGCATGAATTTAGAAACTTAAAAAATAAGGTCCTCTTTCTAACTAAAGCAGTGGTTCTCAACCTGTGGGTCGCAACCCCTTTGGGGGTCGAACAACCCTTTCACAGGGGTCGCCTAAGACCATCGGAAAACACATATATCATTACATATTGTTTTTGTGATTAATCACTATGCTTTAATTATGTTCAATTTGTAACAATGAAAATACATCCTGCATATCAGATATTTACATTACGATTCATAACAGCAGCAAAATTACAGTTATGAAGTAGCAACGAAAATAATTTTATGGTTGGGGGTCACCACAACATGAGGAACTGTATTAAAGGGTCGCAGCATTAGGAAGGTTGAGAACCACTGAACTAAAGAAAGGCTTTACATTGCCCAAATCAAAAATTTGCTCTTCCAGACGCTCAAGGGTAACCTCTACTGAATAATCAGACAGAACACTGACAGCTATGGATAAGACCAGTACTTTCCAAAGAGGGGTAGCAATATGATCCAACGGAATGTAGGAACAAACAGTAAAATTCCAACTTATATTTGCCTCAGCCTTTTAAAATTTCTACTTTCTGCCGAAACCGGTTTGGCTCAGTGGATAGAGCGTCGGCCTGCGGACTGAAAGGTCCCAGGTTCGATTCCGGTCAAGGGCATGTACCTTGGTTGCGGGCACATCCCCAGTAGGAGATGTGCAGGAGGCAGCTGATCGATGTTTCTCTCTCATCGATGTTTCTAACTCTCTATCTCTCTCCCTTCCTCTCTGTAAAAAATCAATAAAATATATTAAAAAAAAATGATTCTCAAAAAAAATAAAAATAAAAAAAAAATAAATAAAAAAAAATAAAATTTCTACTTTCTGTATTTTAAAATGTATACAATATATATTGTAAGACATGTACCTAACTCACCAATAAATAAAATATAAATATATTGAAAGTACATGTATAAACCTCTCTTGGAGAGTATACACAATCAAAAAAAGCCTACTCTAGAGAACACATCCTCAAACAGGGTTGAACAAGCCACAGAAAGCTCAAAAAAAACTCTATTAATGAAAGACTAAAAGAAAGTGAAAATATATGCCAAGTTTCTTAACAAAAGTGCATTAAGGGCCCTGACCGGTTTGGCTCAGTGGATAAAGCGTCAGCCTGCAGACCGACGTTCCCAGGTTCGACTCCAGTCAAGGGCATGCACCTTGGTTGCCGGCACATCCCCAGTAGAGGGTATGCAGGAGGCAGCTGATTGATGTTTCTCTCTCATCGATGTTTCTGACTCTCTATCCCTCTCCCTTCCTCTCTGTAAAAAAATCAATAAAATATATTTTTTTAAAAAGTACATTAAGGTTTCTCCTGAATCTCATAGGTGGATTTTATGTCTTTGTGCATAATTCCCTCTCCATGGAAATATCTTTCACACAAATTAACATGTCCAAAACCAAAATGAGCATCTTTCCCAGCCCCCAAACTAGAACTCCTCTGATTAATAAAATCATTATCACTAACCTGAGTCACTCATGATAAAAATACAAAAGCTTTGCTTTCTCTCCCTTCCTCAACCTATCATCAAATCATGTATTCTGCTTGTTCATCATCTCTGAACTCCAACCTCTCTACTCTTTACTTTTCATTCACCCAGACTATAATAGCCACCTAACTTGCTTCTCTAACATCTGTCACTCAAAACTTCCATCATAGTATACTTGTAAAACAAGTATGTAATTATGTCCCTCATTTACTGATTAAAGATCTCTGTAGCTCTCCCCTACAAAGTAAAATCTTCCGACTGAGCTTCAAAGCCCTCACCACACAGTTCCACCTATCTTTCTAGCTAGCTTCTATTCTACAACTTCACCACTAGGCACCACTGCCTCTCAAACCTCTGGTCCTAAACATCCTTGTCCACTCTTGTCTCCCTGCCTTGTTAAGGTATCTTTCAGAAAGGCCTATCATCCTGATGTCTATCCATAGTACAAGATCCCATTCAAATACTACCTTCCTACAAATCTTTAACTAAACAAGTATACATTGTTGAAGTGAAGCATTTATTTTATAATTACTTATTACTAGGGAATCTACACTATTTCTATGGGGGGGGGGGCAGAAAGAGCTCAGTTGGACTTAGAATTGGCAACTAAAATTTGGTTTTGACTACAATACTATACATGCAATAAACTGACCCAAAATATATTATGAACAGTCTCAGCGAAGCTTAATACAATGTTACCTAATATCAAATGTTGGTGAGCATATGAGGATATGGGAGAAATTCTCAAATACCACTGCTGGAAGAGAATTTGGTACCCTCCATCATATCCTTTAAGCCAACATTTCCATTTCTGGGAGATTATCCAAGACAAGAATACACATTATTATGAAAAGGATTATCATCATAATACTATTTGCTATAGACAAAAAGAAGGAACCCAATGTCCCCCAAAAGAATGACTAATAAGTTGTGGTACAACTATGTAATAAAATACTATACAGCCTCCTTTTTAAAAATGAGGCAGATCTAACACAATGGAAAGATGTCCAAAGTATTTTAAGTGGCAAACTGCATAATGGTATGAGTAGGGTAATATGCAGAAAGAGAGAAAAAAATGGAACAAAACAGTTATCTCTGACAGATTAATGGCAGCTATGTACTAATTCTGAAATATTAAAATATTAATTTATGTGTTTATTGCAATCTGATATTAAATTTTAAAAAACAAATTAAAATTGTCTTGGAGTACAAAAACATAATAGAATAATATATATTACCTTTACCTATTTTTCAGTTTTCAACACAAAAATGTTAAACCTGATAAATATCAATGCTACTTTACTCTTTTAGCACCCAATTTCCATCCAAAATACTCCCCTTACATCTAGTAAGGTGAATAAATATTTAAACAGCCTAATGCAAGAAGTATCAACTGCCTCAATCTACAAGTTTCCAAAATAATTAATACTCCATAATGTATTTCAATCTCAAATTAACGTTTTTAATGAGCCAAAACCATTATTGCCAGGGGTGAAATCCAAAATTTAAAAATACACTGAAAATCTGTGTACCTACAACTTGTATGGTCTAAGGAATAAAAGAGGTTTTACATCGCCCTCTGCTCCACAGAAGCCTAATAAAGGGGCTTTTAATGAATGGCTAATGCCTGGCCCTAGGGTATTACACTCCAGTGGGCCTTCTTTCCACAAAACAAGCAGTTCAGAGACCTTGACAACAATGCATTTCTCACCTCATTAGTCTTAAGAGGACCTCTGCATTCCTCCAGAAAAAGCTGGAAAATAGTTGTCCCTAAAAATGGCCAAAAAGAAGGGGGGGGTAGGGGGTGGGAGGGAAGAGGTTACAAAATATTGTCAGGACTTCGCAATACAGAAGAGTTCAATCCCACCTAGCACTGCAGGTGCATAATCTCATGAGATGCATAACCTTCCTGCACACTAAACATCTCAGAGATATTGAGAAGAAAAGGGCAAGTACAGGCCTGAATATGATCAGAAAAGGTAGCAGAATCACGAATGATCTGTAAAACCAAAACTAACTGCTTCACGTACATTGTCTTCATTAAACTCCACAAGCTAAAAAGTAGGCTTTATCCCCGAAATTCCAAAGCGCCGACTTTTCTTCCTAGCCTCTCTTAGCTAGGTGAAGCGCAACTTCGAACCCAGGGGAGCCTGTAGATCAAAACTAAGGTTAATGCCACAGGTTCCATTCCACGGACTCCTCCCATCCCTCCTCCTCCCACAAGGACAACTGTGCAAAGAGCTGCGTGGGAACTGGGCGCCGCGATACCTCCAAGTCACCCGCACCCGCTTCTAAAAATAAAAAGCACAGCAGCAAAGCCAGCAACGGCAACTCGGACTGTACCGAAGAACCAGAGAGCGCTTTACTTCCGCCTCCGGAAGCGGAAATTCACGAACTTCCGGCCACGGGCCGCGCGGTGACGTCACCACCTTGCGTGCCCCCGCGGCCAGGGGGCCGCCCTCCGTAAACCAACGCGAGATGCCCAGCAGGGGGCGGCAGAAGACCGCGGTAACGCGGTAAGCGCGGGGAGCCCACAGCTGAGGCGGGGTGGGCGGGGCCGGGAGCCTTCCCGGTGCCCGGGCCGGCGGCAGAGAGTTGCTGCGGGGTCTCAGTGCTTTCTGGCGACGGGCGGTGAGCAAGTCCCTATCATATAAACGAATGTTGCGGCCTGATAGGGTGATTCCGCGTATTCACGTGGCTCACGTGACGCCGAGGAACACTTTGGCGTTTGTGCCGAAAAACACCTGCGATAAGAGGCTCATGAACAGCTCCGGATTCTTTCTTTTCTGAGCGACCTTCTGGAGTGTGGCTGCGGGTCCGACATCAGGCTCAGCCCGCAGGCTCGGAGAGCAGTTCTGATAAACTTCTATTTAACTGCTGGCAGCACGACTGCTCCCTGGTTCGTATTAAACTGTGCCGAGTTTGGGCTGTTTGAAGTCTCAGCCGAAACTCCCTCCACCGCCGGTGCGAGTGTGGCACCTCGGGGGGCGTCGCCTCAGTCTTCCTGATCGGGTCGCTCCCCTGGGGATGGTGACAATGGAGATCAAGTTTCAATTGGAGGCAATTCTGCTGTTCCCTCCTGCGAGAGAGAGATTATACTCCGAAGAGTGAGATCAGCGCCAGGCCGCCCGGTTACATAACGGAGGAAGCGGTGGGCCTTAGAGAAACACGTGGGGCGAGAGGGTTGTTCCTGAATTTCACGGCCAGAAGCACTGACTGCATTGCCCTCCTCTGGGGGGTACACAACGGTAGCGTGTTCTTCACCCCATTCCTGCACCAAGGAGCCAATTAAAGTTTAATCCTCACTCTCTCCCTCAGATCACGCCCCGCTGCTTTGTTATTGTCACTTTGTGTTGAATTCACTCTCTGTTTTCTTGGCTGATAAGAATAAAGATTAACTTTGGGGTCTTAAATTGCTAATAATCAGCCTGCTGGTAAGTGAAACTACTTCCTGCAGTTAGTTCCCTCAGGTAAAAATTAGCCCTGAAAAATTAGAAACGACCTCTTTATTTCGATTTCTAAAATCTATTTCTGTATATAGAAGGAGCTCCTATACCTAAGGTAATATTTACTATTATATATTAATATAAAAATTATATACACAAATATTTTAAGTAGAAGCTGCTTTACAATTAGACTGTAAAACAATAAAATCTTTTTTTTTTAAGTCCCCACCGGAGGACATGCTTAAGTTTGAGCGATACCTTGTTGGTAAGGGAGAATGGTTGTTTTGAAAATAAGTTCTGTATTTCCTCTCCAAAATTCTCAGATTACAAATATATATTTTGCTGTTTTTATTTATTTCAGAGAGAAGGGAGAGGGAGAGAGAAATAGAAACATCAATAATGAGAGAGAGCCCTAGCTGGTTTAGCTCAGTGGGTAGAGCGTCGGCCTGTGGACCGAAGGGTCCCAGGTTGGATTCTGGTCAAGGGCACATGCCTGGGTTGCAGGCCTGGTCCCCAGAGGGGGCATGCAGGAGGCAGCCGATCAATGATTCTCTCTCATCATTGATATTTCTATCTCTCTCCCTCTCCCTTCCCCTCTGAAATCAATAAAAAAATATTTTTAAAATAATAATAATAATAATGAGAGAGAATCATTGATCGGGTGCCTCCCAGGCTCCCCACGGGGGGATAGAACCTGCAATCTTAGGCATGTACCCTGTATCGGGAACAAGCTGTGACCTCTTGGTTCAGGGGCCATGCTCAACCACTGAGCCACACCCGCCAGACTACAAATATATTTTAAATGCATATTACAAAACACTGAAAAGAATAACAACAAAAGTATAATAATGATTGGACTGGGATGGTGTATTATCAATTACTTTTTTTTCCCTTCTCATATTTTGGCAAAGAAGTTTAATTTTCAATGATTTGTTAATATTGTCATTACCTTCAATAAAAGCAATGCCAACTCCCTCAGTCATTGGTGGTGTGTTATGGCAGAGCCTGTATATACCTTGCCTATATTTTATTCATTGACTTAATATTTATTGAGCACCTACACCTTCCAGGCCCTGTTTTCAGGATGGGGGAAAACAAAATAAAGCCCCTGCCTTCCAGGACCTCTTTTCCAATGGTAGGTCTCACTCAGCCCGAGTGTCTGCTCCTCTACATGTCCTCCCCCCACCCCATCTTCCCTCCCAGGATCATGGCTGACCCAGGCCCTACTAAACCGATGTAATTAAGAAAAAGAAAATGTGCCCTAACCGGTTTGGCTCAGTGGATAGAGCGTCAGCCTGCGGACTGAAAGGTCCCAGGTTCGATTCTGGTCAAGGGCATGTACCTGGGTTGCGGGCACATCCCCAGTAGGGGTGTGCAGGAGGCAGCAGATCGATGTTTCTCTCTCATCGATGTTTCTAACTCTCTATCCCTCTCCCTTCCTCTCTGTAAAAAATCAATAAAATATATTTTAAAAAAGGAAAAGAAAATGTGGTTGGAAACACTGACAGGGAGGTGGGGGCTGTGAGTGAGAGAAGACCTGAGGCAAGGAGTAAGCGATGATGAAACAACAAAGAGGAAAAGAGATGAGATGAAGCCATCGAAATATGGTGGAGAGGAGTTTATTTTAGAAGCTATTCTAAAGTTTTCATCTTTCTGGGATTTTTATAGATGCAAAAGTAATTCCATTTTTACGTCAAATTTATATTGTCATATATCTTGACTAGAGGCCCAGTGCACAAAATTCGTGCACTAGGGGGTGGGGGGTTCCTCAGCCCAGCCTGCACGCTCTCCAATCTGGGACCTCTTGGGGGATGTCTGACTGCCGGTTTAGGCCCAATCCCACAGGCCTAAACATCCCTCTCATAATCAGGGACTGCTGGCTCCTAACCGCTATCCTGCCTGCCTAACTGCCCCTAACCGCTTCTGCCAGCCAGCCTGATCACCCCCTAACCGCCCCCCTGCTGGACTGATTAACACCTAACTGCTCCCCTGTCGGGCCTGATCGCCCCCAACTGCCCTCCCCTGCTGGCCTGATGGCCCCCAACTGCCCTCTTCTGCCAGCCAATTTGGTTCTGATTGTCGGTTTGTATGCCAGTCAGTGTCAAAAGCTCCACCTCCTAGGCAGCCATTGGCTCCTCACAGTTGACCCAGATTTGGTTCTGATTGGTCAGTTTCTATGCCAGTCAGTGTCAAAAGCTCCGCTTCCTAGGCAGCCATTGGCTCCTCACAGTTGACCCAGATTTGATTCTGATTGGTCAGTTTCTATGCCAGTCAGCATCTCTGGGCCTATCAACAGGGCCTGATCAGAAAGGCAGGGCTGATCAGCAGCCCTGGTGGAGGCCTGGAGAGAAATGGAGGTGGGGCTGCTGACAAGGCCAGGAGCTAAAGAGAGAGGCAAGTGCTGATCAACAGCTGCCACAGAGGCTACAGATCAGACCCTGCTTCTCTCTTTAGGCCTTTCTCTGGGCTTGATTTGCAGCCCCCTCAGCAGTCAGTGCTGGGTCACCATGACTGCAGGACTGACTTCCGGTTGGTCGAGCCTCCTGGTCATTGCGGGTGTGACGGATCCAGGGTTTTTATATATTAGGATTACATTTCTCTTTCTTGTCTAAAACTGTGGTGATATTAGATGATATATGTGTCTTTAAATGACCATGCTTGGGAAAAGAAAAGGTTGCCAAGTCTGAATTGGAGCATCTCCTCTACCCTTTTTAATCCAGAAGTCCGAAGCCTACACTCAGAAGCCCTCCCTTCATGAATTGGACACTCAGGGGAGTGGCTGAAGGTCACGTTTGAATACAGAACATATGCTACACTCAGAAACACCTCTGACCTAAGGGTTTTTTAACTGTGCCAAATCCCCTCTGCTCAGGAAATGTCCTGTTTTTCACACAAATAGAGTTCTGGCAAGACACAGCCCCTCCATTGACCACTCATGTTTGAATCTCAGCAAACCCAATTAAGGTCAGAAAGGAAGTGGCCCTCCATCCCCCACCTTCCACCCAATACAACCCCCACAGACTCCTAGACTCAAAAGACCACACACAGGTGGGGAACCTTTTTTCTGCCAAGGGCCATTTGGATATTTATAACATCATTTGCAGGCCATACAAAATTATCAACTTGAAAATTAGCCTGCTATATTTGGTCAAACATCTAATTAACTCACCCTAATGCCGTGGCAAGGCCAGACGAAATGATTTTGCAGGCTGTATATGGCCCCAGCCCACAGGCCGGATGTTCCCCATCCCTGCAAAAGACAAATGAAAACCCTACCCCACATCAACTTCCTAGACAGACCTATCAGTGACCTATCAGTCTCACTTGAGGGCCCTCAGAGGAACATCAAGTCTCTTCTCCCACTCTCTCTTGGCTGCGGCTGTTTCGTTTGTATATGAAAACAAATGAAAAGACTATAAATTGCTTAAGGTGAACAAAAGCAGTAAAGTTATAGTCACAGGTTAACACTCTTAATGTTTGCAAACAAACCAAAAAAGCTAGCATAATTTTCCCCCTTTTTAAAACAACTGCTTTTTAACAGCCTTAGAGTTCTTAGGATTTTATTGCTGGTTACTTTCTTTCTCTGAAATGTGCCTGACCAGGGTCTAGAGAGACTTCAAGAGTCAGCTTTCCTACTCCCACACTCATTACCACAAGAGTCTGTGGCAAGGAAATGGATACTTCGCCTGGCAAATTTGCTGATTCCAGACCTGATATGATCCTGGCTTCCCATAGTAGTTAGATCGCCACTGTCAGCAGGACAGAGTTGGCCAAGAGAAACACAGTAATCACTTGAGATCCCATTCAGTCTCAGTCCCAATCAGCCTGGTGAGTTTGATTACCTTTAGGGTTGTTTCAGCTACAGTATCATGCCTTCAATGAAGTGATTCTTAATCACTAGTAGAAAATGTTATCCT